AAAAAGCGCAATCCTCGACTGAAATGTAAATTGCTAAACAAATAATAGACGAAAACGTTAAAGTTTACATTCATTTTAAAGCGTAGACATTCAGCTTTCTAACAGTGGGTTGTTTCTTAAATTTGACTCATTGGTTCGCGGGTAATAATACTTTACGTTATTGCGTTTGGAGATTAAAAAAATTGAGATGGAATAACAAATCGTTCTCATGAAAATAACTGATTTTTTCATTAAAACAAAAAAATGTTGCATTTTATTAAATGGATTGTAACAATAAGTATAATTACGGCTTTTCTTCCACTATTTTTAACTCAGCTTGAAACTTCAAATGCGATATAATTTTGGCTTGGACCATCTAAGCTGACTGACATCAACTTGCTATAATTTCTGTTTACATTACATCGCAATTCGATGACACTCTGGCTCAGACACCAGAATGTTTTGACGATTTTTAGCATTCGTTTAGGATTTTCAAACCACCTGGTCTCTTTTAAAATACTTTTAATTTGTTCTTACGTGGTTTTCCAGATGTAGTGACGACAACATTAAAGTTTAAAGAAGAAAATTCTAACATTTAAACCGACTAAACAATAATATAGTAAACTTGCATAATTAAACAGCAACTAAAAATGATAGGTTTTACTAAATCTTTTCCTGTGCAATTATTACTAGCATTGGAGACAAGGATAATAGTTTGTTTGAAAGAGAAAAGAACAGGCTCTGAAGTAAGCCTAAAAGCGTTTAACTAGAAATAGTATTTCGAAAGTTATTAAGCACAAAAGATGAATTGCGTTTATTTTGATACACCCTGTATATTCTCTCCAAGTACCACCACAAAGCAGAAAATACTGTTTCAAATACCTAAACTTCAAACTTTCTTGAACCCACTTAGAATTGCCACGACGTTTTAATTAAGTCCCCCCCCGAAAAAAAAATTGAATCCACAATCGTCCACAAAATATATTGAGACTTTTGGAATCACTGCCCCCTATTAGCCTTTCTGACGCCGCCATTTTTGGGGTACTTTTTTGCCAATCCTGCGAGCGTAACACCACATAACTTCGACATTTTATAATTTTGTGGGTGTATGATGGTAAATTTATTCTGTAAATTGTTAGTTTGTTCTGAAATATTGCTTTTCACATTGTTTTAATCGTTTACGAAAAATTACAGTGCCCCAAAAATGGCGGCGTGCGAAAGACTAATTTCAATGTTGAAAGGCTACTATATGTTTGAGAAATGAACACGTACAGCGTGACACCAAAACCGCAACTGTCCCATTGGCAGTTAACGTTTAACGTATGATGTTTGAAATAAATAATATTATAGTACAAAACAGCATTGAAATCGGGGAGGGGGGTTTGTGGATAATTGCAGGATGCGCCACTGGCTTAATTGAACAAAACGAACAGTTGTACAAGTAAACCCTTTTAGGTTTGTGCCAATAACAGTTCTTAATCTTAACGCGTTTTATCGAATCTTGATTCGATAAAACGCGTTAAGATTAAGAACTGTTATTGGCACAAACCTAAGAGGGTTTACTTGTAAACTTACTCATTGTAACACTGAAATATTGAAAGGCATTGCGCAATTAATAAAAATTGCACGAACATAAATGACGTCAGTATCTTAACACAACAAGCCTCTCCTGGCACTCCGCGTTTTCTCTGTAGCGTTGAGGGACAATTCTTACCAGACCAACATCGTTTAGTTTACATTCCTTCCTGTAGTAACACTGGATCATAAGCGTTGCTCCTTACTGAACCTCTAGGAAGAACAGTTTAGAAGTAATAGAGATATCCAGTATAAATAAAGTTACTTTAGTTTATAGGTTTCCTCCTGTAGTGACACTGGATTAATAAGGGATGATTCTTACTGGACCTCTAGGAAGAACAGTTTAGAACTGATAGCGCTATCTAGTATAAAGTTACTTTAGTTTAGGTTTGCTCCTGTAGTAACACTGGATGAATAAGAGATTCTCCTTACTGAACCTCTAGGAAGAACAGTTCAGAACTTATAGAGATATCCAGTATAAATAAAGTTAGTTTAGTTTAGGTTTCCTCCTGTAGTGACACTGGATTAATAAGAGATGATCCTTACTGGACCTCTAGGAAGAACAGTTTAGAACTGATAAAGCTATCCAGTATAAAGTTAGTTTAGTTTAGGTTTCCTCCTGTAGTAACACTGGATCAATAAGAGATGATCCTTACTGGACCTAGCTTTCCATCGCGTACCAAATCAAGCTGGATCCATGCTTGTTTGTTATTTCTTGTTGTTAATACATTAATGAGTGCAATTACGTCTTGTCAGCTTAATGAGCTCACTAATTAACTCCTTAAAATACTTCACAGAAAAGTGGTGAAATACTGAATTAACCAAACGCATAAAAGGTTCCGTATTGAAAATACAAGATAGAGCAGCAGTGTGCAAAGCCAATGGTTATCAGGAAATATTGCTTTAATAATTAATATATGCATGTAATCACATCCCACCAAGTAGATGAGCACACTAATCAACTTCGTCGCCACTTAATTAACAAGCCAAACAATTTTCCAGAAAAATGGTTAATATTTCCAAGAAATGGTTATGTGTTAAATCTCTTATCTAAAGATCAACAATTTTCAAAATCTATTATGAAATTGTTAGTTGCTTTTAAATTTATTAATAATGTAAGCCGACAACAATCGTCGGTTGACGAGTTTAATAATTAGGGTAAAACAGTGTGCGGGAAAGTGATCAAGTTCAATAATTTGAACCATACTTATGAGCGATTTAAGATATAAGAATGAAAGAGAACAGTACAAATGTACAATATACTAAGACTATTATTAATAGAACTAGTTGTTTTAAATATATTAATGAATGTAATTAGCCATGCATGTTAGGTTAGGTTAGGTTAAAGCACAATCACTGAGTTGAAGGCACTTAAAAAGTCAACGTATTTAACAGAAATGGTTAGCTACGCGGTGAATTATCTTATAAGGGACTTATAAGATTGAAGATACAAACTAGAAGAACCAGGAAGCCGATTATGGACATTGCTATTAATGTATTATTATCGAATTTGATTGCGCCCTGCTAAGCAAACAAGAATAAAATTAACTCGCCACTTAAACTTAAAAGCTTTTGCACATTTTAATGAGCCTACTAATTCACATTGCGGCCGTTTCAGTAACAAGCTATAACCTTTACCAGACAAGAATTAGGGACTGAATTAAGCGAACATTAGTGCTTTAGTGCTGAAAATACGTGATGGAATAACAGTCTGCAAACACTATTGTGCAAAGTTTGTGAAACTAATTGAAACGTTCACAGTAGGCGTCGAATATGCATGAATAATTTTCAAAACTATTTGTCTGTCCGAGTGTTGCAATTTTGCGTCTTTTACGACTAGATTTCAAAAAGTCTTTCAATATCTATTCAAATACGATGCAATTACGTAGTAGCATTAAAAAACCATCAGTTGCAAGACAGCGTAATGAAGGGAAGATAGATGATCGTTTGGGTACAACGACACAAACAACATCAACAGCAACGAATACTGCTCCTGGTCAAGCCAGTCCTACTTCAATAATGTCGCTGACAAACATCGTCATTAGAACTAAATCAGCCGTGGATCGTCTTAAGCTCTCAGCAAGATCACATTCGTTCACAAATCTCGGACAAACATCAACCGTATCCAAAGACAATAGGCTTCACTTCAATGTTTGCGGTGAGAAATTTGAAGTTTTGGAAAGCACCGTTCAGCGCTTTCCTAATACATTGCTCGCTGACCCCGCCGGGCGTGAGAAATTTTGGGACGAGGAACGCAAGGAGTATTACTTGGATCGAAATAGAGCATGTTTCGAGTCTGTCTTGACATATTATCAGAGCAATGGTATCTTAATACGACCGCAGAATATACCTGATGTGTTATTTATACGAGAGGTGCAGTTTTATGATTTGGGGGAAGAAGTGCTCCAGAAAATCCGAGGTATGAAATGTGTATATTATATATTTGCTTTCAACAAGGTGTTCTGTTGTGCTTTTAAGACGCTGGATCAATGAGAATAGGGAACTTTGGCTATGTTTACACGGTACAGCGTGTAGCTTTCCATGCATAGCGACGTAAAAATAGCGATGTTGTTTCGCTCAGCTTCCGAAAGTTGTACATTCCGTATCAAATACATTAGGTGCTTTATTCGCGCCACTTAGTGTAAACGCGTATTATAGCCTTAATTAGCAATTCAAACCAGTTCAAGCATGTTAATCCTATATTAATTTATAGATGAAACAATGTTGGGGTGGGTTTGAAGTTTGATGATGTCTATCGAGGTATACATAAATTTTAAGTTTTGTAGGATTTGTAAGCGGATGTGATCTTTTTGAGCCGAAAGTGGTTATTTTACCGCGCGTAATACAAATATATACAAAATTTGCGAACTTCGATCACAGGGCTATATTTTCTTCATTTTACAACATTTAGCAACCAATCTTTGCAGTTTTACTCATTCTAAGACGCTCTTTCTAACTGTGGTGTTGGATTTCGTTCTTCTTGCATTGATCAAAATTTAGTCTATAGTTAGAACCATTTCATTAGATTATTTTGAAAATTTATAATAACAAATCAAACAAATTCCTGTCATTTCTAAGGTGACGAGGAGAAACCCAAAGAGAACGAGGACGGACCCGAAAAGGAAACACCAACTCCAACTTTACAAAACAAAGTTTGGGACTTATTCGAGCACCCAGAAACGTCAACAGCCGCCAGATATGTAGCGTGGTTCAGTTGTGCAATTGTACTGTTATCTATTATACTGTTCTGCGTCGAAACGCTGCCAGAATTTCAAAAGAAAGACGAATCGGGAGAGACTAAGAGCTACCATACTTTCTTTATAATTGAGACCTTTTGTATTGGCTGGTTCACATTAGAGTATTTGACAAGGTTGATATCGTCGCCTAATAAATGGAGATTTGTTAAAGAGGCGCTGAATCTAATCGATTTGGTTGCAATTCTGCCATTCTTCCTGAATTTTGCGTTGAGCGGAAAAGATTCAAATGTCTCGTCGGTGGCCATTTTGAGGGCGGTCAGATTGGTGAGAGTTTTCAGGGTGTTTAAACTGTCCAGGTATTCGTCTGGGTTGCGGATTTTGGGTCTGACATTGAGAGCAAGTATTGGCGAGTTGGGTCTGCTTGTGTTTTTCTTAACTGTTGGTAAGTATTATGATTTTTGTATATCTAATAGGTTAGGGTGATGGTGGTTGTGGTGGTAATGATGATGGTGAAGATGATGGTGACAGTAATGATGATGGTGGTAGTGACGGTGATGATGGTGGTAATGGGAATGATGTTGGTGGTAATGGTGATGATGATGATGGTAATGAATTCGATGATGGTAGTAATGGTGATGATGGTGAGGATGATGGTGATAATGATGTTGATGATGATGGTGGTGATGATGGTAATGAATTCGATGATGGTAGTAATGGTGATGATGGTGATAATGATGTTGATGATGATGGTGGTGATGATGGTACTGAATTCGATGATGGTAGTAATGGTGACGATGGTGGTGATGATGGTGGTGATGATGGTGGTGATGATGGTGGTGATGATGATGGTGGTGATGATGGTGGTGATGATGGTGGTGATGATGGTGGTGATGATGGTGGTGATGATGGTGGTGATGATGGTGGTGATGATGGTGGTGATGATGATGGTGGTGGTGATGATGGTGGTGGTGATGATGGTGGTGGTGGTCATCATGTCAGATGGTATTATGATTGCTAAACGTTTCAAGTTCAAACCCCGTGCGAAACTATAATAAATTTTTCTTTTTCCTGAGAGGAGGAAAGACAGCTTTCGGAGCGACTAATTATCATCTATACGTGTATTGATCTTGTTTTGGTGGCAAGTACATGTAATGGAAACATTTAGCATTATTTGTTCACTCTTATCAGTACTAATGCATTTGAAATTGACCACTATTGTATAACCACAAAAAAGTCGACTCCAAACGACATATTATAGTTAAAAACAGCTTGGGTTAAACTGTACACGATCGCGAAAGTTCTACACTGACAGATTGTTGAAGGCGTTCTAATAATAGTACAAGCCTGACCCAAATTTTCAAATGCGACCTTTTTTGGGCGCCAATTAAACATCAGTAAAATATAACTTTACATGTGTCGCTATTGTTTATGATCATGCAGTGAATTTTATTCAAATTTATTTTTGTATTTCTTTACTTAATTTCCCTCCTACTGCGTTTGCTTGACAGTTATTGTGAAAATGTAACGGATGACTGCAGAGATTTTCGTACAAAATTGATGTGGAAGCGTGTCGAATTGTGCTCGAGAGTTAAAAACGGAAACGAATGTTTTAAATACCGAAGGGCGAGTTCAACTAAAGGTCTGTAAAAATTCACAAGTGATTATCAGTTTTCAAATTGCACGAGGTACCATACTATGACTTTTTGGAAAATTTACATTCTGTTGATAGCCTTGTGCACGATTTAACACGGATATACATCATATGAATCTTTATTTTAAATGTGCAATGTGATTTTTGCAAGTAATGTTTACTAAGCGAGATATCAAGTAATATATCATAAACGAGAAGCCGTTTATTACCTGAATTGAAAACACCGAGAAGTGTGTTGGAAAACGAGGCTATAGCCGAGTTTTTTAACCAACTTCGAGGTGCTTTCAAATCAGGTAATAAACGGCTTCTCGTTTATGATATAGCTTCTCAAACGAATCAGTATTTTAAGAGAAATTTGAGGCGAAAGTTGGCTTAATTTATGGACGTTTATCACCAGTTTTCCAAACAACGTTTCGGTTAGGATTTTCTTTGTGTTTTCCTCATGCATTATTAATGAGTTTGAGAACAATATATCGAGAACAACAATATACCTCTTTAATTCTAAGGGATGCCCCATTTTGTTTCTTGAAATTCTATTGGTGATATAAATGTATAGGTGTATTGATCTTCTTACGAGTATATATGAGCCGGGCAAGCAGAAAATTGTACTTGGACCACGGCTGGGAATCGAACCCGCGACCTTCACATTTCTATATATATGACATTTTACAGTAAACCTCATTCATTTTGGTGAGGTGTCCCATATTCAACTTTTAGGAACATCACTTTAGAACTGATACCTCTTTTACAGGTGTCGTATTATTTGCAAGCGCTATATATTACGCAGAGTTGAGCTCAGATGATAATTCATTCAAAAGCATACCTCATGCATTTTGGTGGGCCATCGTAACCATGACAACTGTGGGCTATGGCGACATGTATCCAACCACGCTGAGTAAGTAGTACATGAAGTACTTGATTGAGCCTAAATGAGTGAATAAAACACGATTAATAGAGCCCTAGGAAGAACAGTTTAGAAAAAAAAAGTTGGTTTAGTTTAAGTTTCCTTCTGTCATAACACTGGATCATATGTAAAAAGAGATGATTCTCTAGCCGAAGAACAGTTTAGAACTGATAGAGCTATACAGTATAAATAGAGATAGTTTAGTTTAGGCTTCCACCTGTGGTGACACTGGAATACTGGATCAATAAGAGACTACTCTTATTAGACCTCTATAGGAAGTTTAGAACTGATAGAGCTATCCAGTATAAATAAAATTAGTTTAGTTTAGGTTTCCTCCTGTAGTAACACTGGATCAACAAGAGATGACTCTTACTGGACCTCTATAGGAAGAACAGTTTAGAACTGATAGAACTATCCAGTATAAATAAAGTTAGTTTAGTTCAGGTTTCCGCCTGTAGTAACACTGGATCAATAAGAGATGATTCTTACTGGGCCTGAAGGAAGAACAGTTTAGAACTGATAGAGCTATCCAGTATAAGTAAAGTTAGTTTAGTTCAAGTTTCCTCCTGTAGTAACACTGGATCAATAAGATATGACTCTTACTGGACCTGTAGGGAGAATAGTTTAGAACTGATAGAGCTACCCGGTATAAATAAAGTTAGTTTAGTTCAGGTTTCCTCCTGTACTAACACTGGATCGATAAGAGATGATCCTTACTGGACCTCTAGGGAAAATAATTGTGAAAAGAACTGATAGAGCTATCCAGTATAACAAAGATGGTAAGAAAAAAAGTGGCAGTCTCTGCATATAAATGAAGTTAGTTAATCAGATGCATCTTTCTTTGCAGTTGGCAAGTGTATTGGCAGTCTTTGCGCATGTACGGGCATTTTAGCCATTGCGCTACCGGTCCCAGTAATTGTCGCAAACTTCGAACGCTTCTACAGCCAATCACTGGAAGAGGCGAAACGTGACTCGCCAGAAAGCAAGAAAAAATTGGCAAAGTACAAAGCTTTGAAAAAATTCTTTGATAAGCTCAGGCATCGAGATAGCCCGCAGCCTGCGGGTGAGAGTTGGGACGAAGAATATTACGATATGGGAGGCGAGGTCGCTGAGAAAGACCGCGTGAGTGCTGAGGGGAATGGGCAAGCGTATCCGTTGCTTGAGAAGCCGGGCAATTCTGTATCGACTGTGTGATGATGTTATTTAGTCAAGCACTAATTGAACTAGACTTGGAACGCTGCATTCAATGAAAGCAGCTAAATACAGCCATGGAGTATAGGGCTTTGTTTCCGTGTTTCCGAGACAATGCAATGGCTAATTAGTGCCATCTATCTTGAATTATACTGATTATAAAATTATAAACAGATCACTCTCAAGCACGAAAGCAAGGTTCTACAGCCAAGACTGAGCACTGTCCAGAAGGGTGTACTAAGACCTTTTATAATTTGCAGAGAAACGGGTCATTGGACTCACCAAGCCCAACGGAACGCTACATCAGTGAAACTATATGTCTTATGACACAGTTCAAATCTGGCTATACTTTAATCGTACAGTTGATCTTTGGAACTCCATAGCGGGCAATAAAACATCTATAACCTCAATAAACTCGTTTAAAATATCACTTCGAAAACATTTAGTTGAATGTTCTATACAGCAAGATTTAAAATCCATGATGTTTACACTTGGCGTGCTATGTGCACAAAATGTCACAAACAATCTAATCTTCCGCTAAAATCAGCATGTCGATCACTGCTGTTCTATAGCTCTATTTCTTTTTCCTTTCTTGTCCTTGGTTTTTTTTTTATATAAATGTAATGTGTGCTCTTAGCCTTAGGAAGGCTTGCCTTGTTTGGACCTTGGGTCTGTTGCTAGCTTCTTACGCCTGTATTCTAAAAGCTCACTCACACTCACATTCAAAGGGTGGAAGTTCAATCTGAGCTTCCCTTGAGTGTCAGTGCTGTTTTTAATATAGCTGGAGGGTTAGTGTCGTACCTTACTGCGTGTGAACAACTTCCACTCTTTGAGTGTGCTTTTAGAATACAGGCGTTAATCTTGTAATCTTAAAGTTCAATAGAGGATAAATGAAATGATGATAAGATTGAAAATG